AGCTGAGACGTCCCACCAAAATCGGCGCGAACGGGCTCGTGATATCAGCCAGGGTGGCTCCCCCTTGGGGCTCCCAAATGATGCCCCTGGCAGCGTTTTGTGACCATGAGGCTCTCAAGAGAGACATGTTGGGGACGCCAAACGGCACTTTTAGCTGAGACGTCCCACCAAAATCGGCGCGAACGGGTTCGTGATATCAGCCAGGGTGGCTCCCCCTTGGGGCTCCCAAATGATGCCCCTGGCAGCGTTTTGTGATCATGAGAGAGTGTGAGTGTGAGTGAATGTGACTGTGAGTGAGTCTGAGTGAGAGTGAGTCTCATCTTATCTTATCGAGTCCTATCTTATCTTACCTTTATTACCCTCTATCTTATCTTATCTTGAAATCTCTTATCTGGTCTTAGCTTATCTTATATCAACTCATCTTATCGCATCATATCTTGTCTTATCTTATTACTCCATAGGCTGTCTTATCTTATCTATTATCCTACCTTGTCATATATCTTATCTTACCTTATCATATCTGGTGCTATCTTATCTTATCTTGTAGTATCTTATCTTGTCTTGCCTTATCTGGTGATTATCATTGAAAGGAGGGAGGCGCGAGCGGGAGGAAGGAGGAGCAGTGGGAGGCGTCAGAGTAATAACAAGAACCCCAATCCTTAGGATATGGGGAAAAAAACGCCTCCCCCCCTAGACTTTCCAAAATGATTGAGTGGGGCGGACTAATAGAATTCAGCCGCCGGAAACTGTTTTTTAAATCGTTCGCCCCCCGGCGTTTGCTTGTGCCCCTTTGGGGGAACTGATTTTCTATTCGTTCTCCTTCGCTTGCTTGATCACCCGCTGCCGCGGGGGGAGGATTGCGGAGGCGGGGACGGGGTAATTAGGGAAGGGGTTTTCGAAGAGGCGCTTGATCACCCTCGTCCTTGCGGACGGCCGCCGGCCGTCCTTGCGGACGGCCGCGGCGATTGGGAGGTGGGGGATGATGATGATGATGATGATGATGATGATGATGATGATGATGATGATGATGATGATGAGGATGATGATGATGCTGATGATGATGATGATGATGATGATGATGATATGATGATGATGCTGATGATGGATGGGACGATGATGATGACGAGATGATGATGATGATGATGATGATGATGGTGAGGATGATGATGATGATGGTGATGATGTAGATGGTGATGATGATGATTTGATGATTGAGGAGGATGGAGGAGGAGGAGGAGGAGGAGGAGGAGGAAGGAGGAGGAGGAGGAGGAGGTGGACGAGGACGAGGGCGAGGACGAGGGAGGAGGAGAGGAAGTGGAGGAGGGGAGGAGGAGGAGGAGGAAGAGGAGGAGGAGGAGGAGGAGGAGGGAGGAGGAGGTGGAGGAGGAGGAGGAGTAGGAGGAGGAGGCGGAGGACGGAATGAGGAGGGGGGGGACAAGCGGCTGCGCTTCGAGTCATATAGACAGCCTACCCCCTCGGAGGTGACGTCAATATGAGGGAGAACGAGGGAGGAGGAAGCGGAGGAAAAAAGGAGAAGGGGAGGAAGGACTGAGGAGGAGGAGTAGACGAGGAGGGAGGAGGAGGAGGAGGAATAAGGCGGAGGAGGAGGAGGAGGAGGAGGAGGAGGAGGAGGAGGGGAGGAGGAGGAGGAGGAGGAGGAGATGATGGTATGAGGAGGAGGAGGAGGAAGGAGGAGGAGGAGAGAGGGAGGCGAAAAAGGAGGAGGAGGATGATGAGGAGGTGGACGAGGAGGAGAGGAGGAGAAAGAGGAGGAGGAGGAAGAGGAGGAGGAGGATGAGGAAAAGGACGAGGAGGAGGAGGAGGAAGAGGAGGAGGCGGAGGAGGAGGACGAGCTCGCCCTGAAAAATCACCCCGTCCACCCCCCTGGCCCCCGCGCCCTGGATCGCCACCCCGTGCCCCCCCCCCCCCCTGGCCTTCCAGGCAACCCGGAATTGTCAGCCCCCCGTCTGCCTGCCCTGCCCCCCCGCTATTGCGGGGGCGAGGAGGCCCGCGAAACATTTGTTTTAATCGTCCGCCCCGAACACACATATATATGTATATATATATTATATATATATATATATATATATATATATATATATATATATATATAATATTTATATAGAACAATTGTACGTATGTATATATATATATATATATATATATATATTCGCGTCGTCGTCCTCTCTTTCTTCCGTCCTCTGATCGTCTGTGGGGCAGTCTTGAGGGTCCCGTCGGTCACTTTGGGCCGTCTCGTGGTCGTCTCGGGTCATCTTGGGACTCTTTTGAGCCGCCTCGGGCTCTCTTGGCCGTCTGGGGGATCTCTTGGGGCCGTCGTGGGGCTGTCTAGGGCCGCCTTGCATCTCTTCAGGGGCCTTCTTGGACTAGCTTGGGGCTCTCTCGAGGACGCCCTGGGCCGTCTGGGGCCCTCTGTTGGGTTGTCTTGAGGTTGCTTGTCGCGGCCGTCTTGGAAACTCGAAAACGCGGATACGCTTGTCGAAACACGGGGGTGTGGCCTCGGGAGTGCGTGTTTTTACGAGGGGTCGTTGCTTCTAGACCGCGGATCCATAGTCTTGAGAGCGTGGACAATTTTTGGTCGATGGGGATCCTGGCCTCGGCGCACAGCTGGGTGTGACGAGAGGGGGGGTTGGCCCCCTTACAAGGTCGCAGAACCCCTACCAGACAGTCCTCGGCATCCTACCACGCCTCAACGTACCAGGGGGCACGGTGGCGGATGTGTCTGTCCGCTGCCAGCTGCAAGGACGCCCTCGAGGGCGCGAAGTTATTCGCGCTTCGCGGTTCGGCTCCGGTTCCTCCTCATCCTCCTCTTCTCCCCTGGGAGGCGCAGCGCGAAGTTGGGAGCCTTTGCATCTGGCAGAAGAGGCGACATGTGAGAGCCGCGCTGCAGTGGACTCCGACAGGGGGCACAACAGGGCGGCGCGAGAGGGAGAGGGGGCGCGGCCGGGGCAATGCTGCAGTGATGCTAGTTGCTGTGTCTGGCTGGCCAGCCGCAGGCAGTGCGACACGACCCCCGCGGCCCCCGCCACCGCCGCAAATCCCAGACCTCCCCCTCCGCCTCGCAATGTTTGTGGTTGCGCACAGTGCACTTTCAAAGTTCTAGACGCTTCGCGTCTCCCCACCAGCCCATCCAAAAACGATGTCCAGGCGAGTTGAGAGGTAATCAGGGAAGTGCGGGAGCAAAGAGGGGGACGGTCGAACCGTGTGAAGGAGAGAGGGGGCGAAGGAGAAAATTTGATGGATGGATGAGGGAGTAGGGAGAAGGAGGATGAATAGGATGATGATGATGATGATGAGGAGGAGGAGGAGGAGGAGGAGGAGGAGGAGGAGGAGGAGGAGGAGGAGGAGGAGGAGGAGGAGGAGGAGGAGGAGGAGGAGGAGGAGGCGGGTGCCTCGGGGGGGCCTTTTGGGGCTGCTTGGGATCCTTTGGGGGGCCTCCTGGGGGCCTCTTGGGGGCCTCTTGGGGGCCTCTTGGGGCCATCTTGGGGCCATCTTGGGACCTCTTGGGGCCTCCTGGGCGCTTCTTGGGGCCATCCTGGAGGAGATCGATCAAACAAGACGGGAACTTTAATTAGGTCCCCCCCCAAGAGACCCAAATGGGGCCCAAACCCTAGTAAAACCAATGATTTTGGCTTCCTCGCCAAGGCCGTTTTGGACGCCCTGACACCTCGCGACACCCCTCGTCCAGGTCCAGGGGAGGGGGTAGGGGGAGGGGTATACCCCTCCCTGAAGGAGAAGAAGGAGGGGTGGAAGAGGAAACTCCCTAAACCACCGACGCCCAGAGGGCTGGTGGGATTAGGCTGGCGCATGTCATGGCTGGCCCGGTGGGGACGTTTTGCCATGCAGACGCAGGGAGAGACAGGGCCCGGAGAGCTGAATTACGGAGCTTTCTCAAACCCGTACCTCTGGAAGTCTGGACCCGTTCCGGGGGACTGGTTGCTTCTCCTGAGTTGTTTTTTGCTTCGACTTCGTTTTGCAGCAAAGGCGGATTGCAGACAAAACGAGGGCAGACGAAAACATAACGAAAACGACGAATACCGTGTTGGTCGAGCCCTGCTCTGCTCTGCTCCTCCTCCCCTTCCCCTTGGCTGTGGCCTCCTCTCTTGCGCTCCGTTGCCGCGAGCCTCGCCTTTACCGTCGGGGCAGCGGAGGCCTCCGGCCCAGTGTCCCCAGGACCTGGCGGGGGCCCCCCAGAGGCCGAAGGCGACAAGCAATCTTTAGATCGAGTCTTCCGAAGCGTCGGGGGTCGCGGGGGGCAGAGGACAGGGGGAGGCAGGGGAGGAGCGGAACCAGGGGTGGGGGCGGGGGCCGGGGTGGTGGGCCGAGCGCCGCAGGGGGGCCCCCCCCGTTGGGGGCAACGTCAGGGGGGGATAGGCTCAGGGGGGTATGCATCGACCCCCCATGGGCCATTGATCGCGAATGGGGGCCCGATAGCCCACCCCCGCCCATGAACGTGCGGGTTCACCATCGGGGACCCATCGCCGATCTATCGGCGATGTATCGCCGATTCCAGATCGATGTATCCCTCCCTGACTGAGCTGGTCCCCTCTATCGTTTACCCTCAACCCAGAGCCTCGACGTCACGTTTTTTCCTAACCCAAGCCCCATACCCCAAGGGCGCCCTCGAGGGCGCGACGTTATTCGCGCTTCGCGCTTCGCGGTTCGGCTCCGATCCCTCCTCATCCTCCTCTTCTCCCCTGGGAGAAGGCGCGAGAGCGCGAAGTCATTCGCACTTCGCGCTTCGCCCAGCGCGAAGCGCGAAGTTGGGAGCCCTTGCGGAAGAAGGGGTGTGTATGTTTTGCTTCGGCCAGGCGCCGGAGCAAAGGAGAAAACTTGATGGATGGATGAGGGAGTAGGGAGAAGGAGGATGAATAGGATGAGGAGGAGGAGGAAGAGGAGGAGGAGGAGGAGGAGGAGGAGGAGGAGGAGGAGGAGGAGGAGGCGGGTGCCTCGGGGGGGCCTTTTGGCAGGGCCCCCGACAGGTGCCCAGCCACGAGGACGCCGCGTCGTTCCTGGGCCTCCGCGGCGCGCACGGCGTGAGCGCGGCGGACGTGTCCTCCGCCCACCACGGAGGACGGCGGGCGCAGAAGGGGGGCTACCCGCCCACCCGGGCTCTCTCCTCCTCCTCCTCCTCCTCCTGTCCTCCTCCTGTCCTCCTCCTCCTCCTCCTCCTCCTGTCCTCCTCCTCCTCCTCCTCCTCCTGTCCTCCTCCTCCTCCTGTCCTCCTCCTCCTCCTCCTCCTCCTCCTCCTCCTCCTCCTGTCGGAGGGTATGGCTTCCGCCGGGCCTCCGTTTTCCAGTCGGTGGGTGTGGCTTCCGCCTGATCTCTTCGCCTGTCGGTGGGTGCGGCTTCCGCCTGTCCTTCCCTTCGCCTGTCGGTGGGTGGGGCCTCCGCCTGTTCTCCCCTCTCAGCACGGGGTGCTCTTGTCGGACCAGGGCCCAGCCACCGCAGGAGATGCTGGTGCTGACCACCCGTCAGGATGGCCGAGCCGCAGGCCCCACCTGGCCGGTCACCCTGGCCTGCCAGCGGGTGTAGCTTCCACCTGGTCATTCGAACATCGGCGGGTGTGGCTTCACCTGTTCTCCCTTCGCCTGTCGGTGGGTGCGGCTTCCACCTGCTCACGCGGCGTGAAGAACGACGGCTTTAGCTTGTCGGTGGGTGTGGCTTCCACCTGGCTTCCTCCCGCCTGTCGGTGGGTGTGGCTTCCTCTTGGAGGGGCAGGGTCCTTCCTGCCTTGCTTTCGCCTGTCGGTGGGTGTGGCTTCCTCTTGGTCTCTTCGCCTGTCGGTGGGTGTGGCTTCCGCCTTCCCGACTGTTAGGGCACGAAAGGCGCAATACTCTACCCGCGTCCTAATCGACACATTTGACAATCCTCCTCCTCCTCCTCCTCCTCCTCCTCCTCCTCACCCCTTCCGGGTCTTACCCTAGACCCCCGACGATACGATTCTTTCGACCTGGGCGTTTTCCCTTGGTTTCGGCCGCCATCGGACCTTCCAGAGCGGATCCGGGACGAAGCATTGCCCGCGGGGCAGAGGCGCCCGGGCAGGCACTCGGGGCACCTTGTCTGGCTTCCGGGGCCGCGGGCTGAGCAGCCAAGTTGCATCGTCAGCTGTCTGCGGGGGGTGCTGTGGCCCTCGCCCCCCCCCGGGAGGGGACCGCGGGCCTCGGCTCCCCCGTCGGTCGGAGAGGTCGCCGAGGCGATCTGGCATTCCGTTGCGCGTGCGTGGGGGTTGAATGGGATACGGCAGCTTCCCACGAGCGGCGAACATCTCCGTGTCCGCGCCGGTCTGAATTCCGGGGCGCGGTCCCGCGGATACGCGGTCGCCCGGCCCGCGAGGCCGCGGATACGGATACGTTTTTCGCCCGCGAATTCCCCGGCCTTGGCCGGTCGGCGGCCTGGTCGGGCCCGCGCGCGCCGAGAGCCCTGCCCCACTGCGACCTGCTGCTGCCCGCGCGGCTCTCGGCTCGTCTCCTCTCGCGGCGGCGCCGCCGCCGCGTACACCGCGCGCGCGCCGTGTGCGCTCCCACCGGGGGCTGCTGTGCCTCTCTCACCCTGGGGGCTGCCTCTGGGGCGTCGATCGTGCAGCCCCCGCCCGCGCTGCCGCGCCCTCGCTCGCCGAACGCTCTCCGAGTGTTCTGGAGCGTTCCGAGAAGGCCGCGGCGCCCGAGGCATCCTCCGGAGCCGCCGGCTCTCGGAGATAATCGATGTAATTATCCTCACCCGAATGCCATCTTCGTTTATGGTGCTCCGACCTATTTTAGTCTTGATCACAAAGAAAATAATTTCGAGCACCAGGTACGTACCCATCTTGGAGGGTTTTCTCGTGTCGGGCCCTTTGCTAGCACGTCGGGCAGACACCGTTTCGATACTTTTCTGGGCGCTCGAAATCATTTTTGGGATGTGGTCCTGAAGGACGATGGGAACAATACAAGTCTTCGTCCTGGCTTCGTCTTCTTCGTCCTGGCTTCGTCTTCGTCATCTTCGTCCCGAACATGTACGTCTCCTGATCGATGTGCCGTCTTCATTCTCCCCATCGATGTGCCAGTCTAGTCCCTCGTCGTCCTGGTTTCGGCTCCGTCATCGACGCATCCTCCTCGACGTGCCATCGTCCTTCTCGACGTGTCCTCACCCGGCTTCCCTCTTCGTCCGGGCTTCGTCCTGCAGGAGGTGGCCACCCCGAGCACTCGTCGTTCTGCGGCGGCGCGGGCGCTGCGCCGGGCGGGAGCCACGAGGGCGAGGGGCCGCACGCGGAGCAGCGCCCAGGCCCCCCCGCGGACGCGGGGCACGGCCTCGAGCCCGACGCCGCCGCCAGCGGCAGCGGCGGCGGCGGCGGCGGCGCTCGCAGCTCGGCGGCTGCAAGAGGGGCATGCTCGGACGGGGCCAGGGCGGGGACACGGTCACCCCGCACCGTTAGGACGGGGCAGCCTTCCTCAGGGCACCCCTGCATCCCTGCCCCCTCGGCCCATGCTGAGCGACTCTCGCTGGCCAACCTCGTTCATAAAAGCGCTAACGTTGCCCTCCGAGGCCCTTGCATCCTTACCGCGGAGGAGGAGGAGGAGGAGGAGGAGGAGGAGGAGGAGGAGGAGGAGGAGGAGGAGGAGGAGGAGGAGGAGGATCCTCGTTGTGCGGGTTGGCTGTAAATCCGTTGCGGAGCCTTCCGGAGCGCTCGTTCAGAGCGGCCCCGCGAGTGCTTTCGAGGCCGTGGCGCCCGAGAGACATGCTCCAGAGCCGCCAGGCCTCGGAGCATCTCGACGGATCCTCGCCCGAGCTTGTCCTCGTCCTGGCTTCGAGTATACATGCAGAGCCAGGGGCCCAGCCGTTGGGAAGAGGGGCCGGGACCCCGAAGTCAACCGTCAGGCTCCAGGGGCGGGGCCCGCCTTTCGGCGGCCACGGGATAGCCTCCGAGAGGGATCCAGGCGGCCCCAGACGCTCCCGAGCCGCCCCCCGAGGCGGCCTCGAGGAGTCTCACGTAGCCCAACAGACGTCTGAAACCGCCTGAGAGGCTTCCAAAACAGCTAAGATGGCCTCCCAGAGGTGCCCGAGAGGGTCACGCGATGTACGGTAATCACGTTTCCCGATGTTTTTTCAAGGATTCGAGGGTTCACCTTTGTCGAGCTTGCTGCGCTCCAAGACGGCCCAAGAGGCTCCCACGAGCGCCGCAAGACACCTTCAGATGCTTGCAACGGCGCTCTAAGCTGGCCGAAGATGGCTCCCATGGCCCGCGAGGTCCCCCAGGACAGCCCAGGAGGGCTTCAAAACGCGCCCACGAAGGAGAAATCCAAGGGCCTCTCGGGCCCTTCCACCAACACAAGTCCCTCACGCTACGCGAACGTGTCCGCAGGAGGCCCCCAGCAGGACCCCAGAGGCACCGATGACCCCCCCAAGGGGCTTCAAGGGGCCCCCAAGGGGCCTCCAAGACGCCCCTAGAGACATCGAAGGTCAGGTCTTGAAAGTATGGTCCCAAAGGGCCTCAAGCAGCACCCCAGAATGGCCGAAGAGCGCCCAAGGCTGTCTCGAGAAACCGCGAAGTCAACGCGGGTTCGAGCCCAAGCGCCCCCCCCCATCGAGAGTTTCTCGAACGGATTCTTAGGTTACTGCGGCTTCTTGGGCCTCGGGGTGCTCTCCCTGGGCAGTGCCTCGTCGAGGGCACTCGTGGAGATCTCGCGCGGCCGCGCAGTGAGGAGTGCGCGAGGGAGCCCTCCTCCCCCTCGTCCTCCTCCTCCTCCTCCTCCGCCTCCTCCTCCTCCGCCGCCTCTTCCTCCTCCTCGTCCTCGTCGTCCTCCTCCTCGTCCTCGTCGTCCTCCTCCTCGTCCTCGTCGTCCTCCTCCTTCTCTCTGCTCCCTCCCTCCTCCTCCGTCCCTGCCCCGTTCCTCCTCCCCCTGTTCCTCACCTCCCCCCGTGCGCTTTTCTCCTCCTTCCTCCCTCCCCTCCTCCCTCCCGCTCCCCCGATCCCCCCCCCTCCTACACCCGCGGAAGCTCGTGATCCTACCTCCCTCCTACTCGCGGCTGCGACCGAGGAGGAACCCCGCGCGAGAAGGATAAAGAGAGAGAGAGGGTATTACTGAGGACGTGATTCAAACTGACGTCGTACATGCCTTGTGCTCAATCCTTGCGTAGATTCGCCGGCATGCACAGCTGTGATGCTGTCGAGGGCCGCGGCGCGCCAGAACCTGAGTGCGCGCGAAGTGCGCGCGCGTGTGGTTCAAGGTACGTGTGTCCAGGGGCTTCGTGGCTCCCATCGCCCATGTCTTCTACGAGGCTCCCCAGCGCATACGCGTGAGTGATGCCCGCTCCTGGGACCCTGAGGTCCGACGTGGGGAGTTGCAACATCGTGAAGAATCACGACCAGAGCTTCGGACCCCATGTTTCTGCGCCATTTTTCGAGCTGGATCGATCTGTGAGGGTCCCAGTGTCCGACAAGGAGCGACAATGAAAAGATTGCAGTGCCCGGCTCTCGGGGGATATCCCTCCCTTTTTTGCCGCCGCCGAACAGCACGTCCTTCCACAGCACGTCTTTCAAAGGCGGCGTGCACAAGTCCGGCGTGCGCGCGCCCGCGGTGCCCCGCCGTGGGAGGCCATTCGGGCGAGGCCAGGACGAGGATAAGTCCGTTCCGAAGCGTTCCAGAATGTTCTCAGAGCGTTCAGCCGCGGCGCCCGAGACACCTTCCAGAGCCGCTGGATCTCAGAGATTCTCAATGTTGCCCCACCCGAAATTATCCTCGTCCTGGCTTCGAGGTAGCGTTAAGTCGGGCCTGTCCCTCCACAGGAGGACTGTTCCAAAAGACCCAGGGCCTTTTTGCACCTGCTTTTTTTGTCGTGTGACTATCTTTGATGCTTCGTCCAGAGTCCGCCTGCAGGAGGGCATGCCCGACCTAAACGTAGCAGTTCGGGCCGCCCCCCCAGGCCGACCTGGAGAACCTAGGACCGGATCCGAAGGAATCCCCAGTGACTATGAACACATTCTGGGGGGACTCTTTCCTCTCCGGGAGTCCTGGGGAACCTCTCTACTCGGGAATCCCGAGGGATCCCGATGACTGCGAAATCCCGAGGGATCCCCGGGGAACCCTGTGGCCCTGAAGCCCAGGGGCGCGAGGCGCGCTCCGCAAGGGCTCCCTCGAGGGCGCGAAGTTATTCGCGCTTCGCGCTTCGCGGTCCTCGTTCCTCCTCCCCCTCCTCCTCGTCCTCCTCTTCTCCCTTTTGGGGGGGCGGCGCGAGGGCGCGAAGTTATTCGCGCTTCGCGCTTCGCGCAGCGCGAAGCGCGAAGTTGGGAGCCCTTGGCTCCGCGCGACGGGCCGCCTCTCCCGAGAGCTCCCGGCGCGGGCTCTGCTCGGCTGCGCGCGGCGGGCGGCCCCCCCCCGGGGGAGTGGCCGGCAGGGTCCGGGTCCCCGGGCGCCCTCGGGGGCGCGACGCCCTCGGGGGCGCGACGTCCCCAGACCCCCTCGAGTTATGAAAAAATCACGACGCGAGGTTTTTCATGATTTTCGGCCTCTCGGGGCCCTTACCGGCCCTCGGGACCGTCAAAAAACGACTCAGGACGAAAAACCGGTCCCGGGGAATGGGTCCGGACCTCTGGGGGTCGACGTCATGAAAAATTCATGACGTCGGGGGTCTGGGTCCCCGGGGGCGCGACGTCCCCGGGGGCGCGACGTCCCCGGGGGCGCGACACCTCGATCCGTCGGCCGTTTTTTCCCCCCTCTCTGGGCCTCCTGGGAGGCCCTCGTCGCCACCGCCGGCTTCGCCTCGGAGTTCTGGTCCGAGCACGCCCCGGGAGAGGTCCGGGAAGCAGCGGTGTCGGTGTCTCTCGGTCTCCCCACGACGTTGCAGTCAACCCGCATGGTAGGGATGGGCAACCTTCGCAAGGGTACCCTTGCATCCTTGCATCCTCGGTCCATCCTCGGCCACTGTCGTCGGCCGCGCCCCGCTCGAAAAGCGTCGGCATGGCCCTCCAAGGCCCTTGCGTGCTTATCGAGCGTCCTTATGATACAGGTCGACTGTATCCTCCACCGCACGCAAGAGCGACCTTTCGCCAGAGTGACTATTGGCGCGGGCCCAAACGGGCCCCCCCGGACGCTGAATGCGATGCGACATCGCAGCGGCTTGCGCGCCTGGTGTCTCCCCAAGGGGCCCGCCCGTGGCCGCGCACTGAAGGTCACTCTCTTGCCTGGAGTCACTCTTGCGTGCAGCCGACATGCGCGCTTCGCGCTTCGCGATTCGGCTCCGATTCCTCCTCATCCTCCTCTTCTCCCCTGGGGGGCGGCGCGAGAGCGCGAAGTGATTCGCGCTTCGCGCAGCGCGAAGCGAGAAGTGGGGTGCCCTTGTCGATCCGATCGGTCCGAGCCGATATCGGCTCTGGCCAGCCCAGTTCGATCGGCTTCCGATTTCCGGGGGATCCGAAGCGGCCCGATGCCGCTGCCTGCACGGCGCTGGCTGTGCCTCCTGGCGCAGCCGATCCGGCTTGATCTCGATCTCTCGCCGATGCGGCCCGATCCGATGCACACTGCGATACGACCCGAGTTCGATTTCCCGATTCGGTGCCGACTGATCCTGCCTTCGGTGCACGGCTCTCGGGGGCCGGGAGAGTTCCCGAGCGGGCTCCGATCGGCAACGCTCGGCGGCGAAATCCGAACCCTGCTCTCGCCTATCGATTCGGGCAACTCGATCGGCGGCGGGGGCAGGGTTCGCAATTCGGCGGACACGTTGCGGAATCCAAGCCCTACCTCCGCCGCCAATCGATTCAGGAGGATCGATGGTGGGTGGGGTCGGGGGCAGATTCAACAAGGAAGCGGTGGGAGAATGGAGGAGGAGGAGGAGGAGGAGGAGGAGGAGGAGGAGGATGAGGAGGATGAGAAGGAGGATGAGGAGGATGAGGAGAGAGAAGCGAGGAGGAGAAGGAGGAGAGGAGGAGGAGGAGAAGGAGGAACAGGAAGAGGAGGATGAGAAGGGATGATGATGATGACGTTGATGACGATGACAATGACGATGACGATGATGATGATGATGACGATGATGATGGTGATGATGACGATTATGATGATGATAATGATGATGCTGATCATGATGACGATGATGACGACAACGAGATAACGACGACGATGATGCTGCTGCTGATGATGATGGGATTATGCGGTTGATGGTGATGCTGATGACGACGATTCGGATGATGGTGATGATGATGATGATGATGATGATGATGATGATGGTGATGGTGATGGTGATGGTGATGTGAATGATGATGCTGATGATGATGATGCTGATGATACAGATGATGGCGACGACGACAATGACGATGATGGTACTGATGAGGATGATGATACGATGATATTATGATGAATATGATTATAATGATGATCATGATGATTCTGATGAAGATGCTGATTATGATGCTGCTGATGGTGGTCATGGTGATGGTGATGGTGATGATGATGATGATGATGATGATGATGCTGATGATGATGATGATGATGATGATGATGATGATGCTGATGATGATGGTGGTGGTGGTGGTGGTGATGTTGCTGATGATGCTGCTGATGATGATGAAGATGATCATTAGGATGATTATGATAATGATGATGATGATGATGATGATGATGATGATGATTATGATTATGATGATGGTGATGGTGATGATGAGGATGCTGACGATGATGATGATGCTGATGCTCATGATTGTGTTGCTGCTGCTGCTGATGAGGATGGTGATTATCGCAATGATGACGATGATGATGATGATGATGATGATGATGATGATGATGATGATGATGATGATGATGATGATGATGATGATGATGCTGATGAGGTGCTGCTGCTGCTGCTGATGATGATGATGATGATGATGATGATCATGATGAGGCTGATGTCGATGATGATGACGAGGATGGTGATGGTGATGGTGATGGTGGTGGTGATGATGATTTGGATGATGCTGATGATGATGAGGATGAGGATGAGGATGTTGATGGTGATGGTGATGATGATGATGATGATGCTGATGCTGATGATGATGATGATGATGATGATGATGATGATGAGGATGAGGATGATGATGATGATGATGATGATGATGATGATGATGATGATGATGATGATGCTGATGATGATGATGATGATGATGATGAGGATGATGATGCTGTTGGTGATTATGATGATGATGATGATGATGATGATGATGATGATGATGATGATGATGGTGGTGGTGGTGGTGGTGGTGATGATGATGATGTTGATGATGATGCTGATGCTGCTGATGATGATGCTGATGCTGATGATGCTGCTGCTGCTGCTGATGATTCTAATGCTGCTGATGATGATGATGCTCATTTTGATGATGATGATATGACGACGACGGGGCAGGGGTCGGATGTCGCAACCTAGACGCGCAACTGCGGCCCCTCGCTGAAGTGACCTCTGGCTTGCGCGGAACCCTCGGGGGGGCTTGGAGGGGCCCAGCCCGAGCACGCGGGCCGCCACTGCCGCATGGCACGCGGCGGCGGCCAGCAGGCCGCGCGCCAGCTGCCACCCTTGCCGGGCTCATTTGGGCTCCTCCATCTCGACTCGGTTCGATTTCGATGGATGCCTATTCCGATTCGGTTCGACTTCGGGTTCCGATTCGGGTTCCGCTTTCTCAGCGCAGGCCTTACTGGCCTGCTCTTGCCCAGGCTCGCTCTCGCATGCAGCCGGGGCTCTGAGCGGGCCGAGGCATGGGGTCGGCACGATCGAGATGGATGCGGAAAGATGGGTGCAACGCCCGACAGCAGGCCTGGTTCATTTTGGACCAGACTCACTGCCGGTGTCGCCGCGGGCGTTGTCCATTCGAGGCAGGAGGCCGCCTGCCCAACAGCGGCCGCTGTCGGTTTTGGGCACATTTGCTGTTGAGCTTTGGGGCAGACCCCCTCGCGTTGACTCCAGGCCTCCCAGATGGGGTCCGAGTAGATGGGGCCGGAGGATCGCGCCGCATCGCCGATGCATCGGCGTCGCGGCCTGATGCAGAGCCCGATGTTCTCCGCGCAGTCGTCGCCCATACACTGCGCCGACGTTGCCGATGCATCGTCGATGCATCGGCGAGCATCGGCGAATGGCGATGCATTGGCGATGCGGCGCGATCCTCCGACCCCAGCTCCTCGGATTCCATCTGGGAGGCCTCTAGCTTTGAGGCAGACCCTCTCGGCCTGACCCAGGGCTGCACCTCAACGTTGTTTTGCAAGCTTTCGGGCTCCGTGCTGTTTTTCGTTCTGGCGGAGAGGCTCAGGGTAACAGGCAGAACATTTCGAAGAACATATGGGATAACGAAACGAAACACAGAGCTTAGGTCCAGCCCTGGCCTGACCGACTCCCCAGGCCAGAGTGGGGCCGGGGGGATGCCTGGCGGTGCGCCAGCACGTTCGTCGCCGTTTTTTATCCGGCGGTATGCCAGCGCGGGCCCTGGCCTGCCGCGTCTCCAGGCCTGGCCTCACAGTGCCGCCGCCTCGTCCTGGCAGGCCGGGACCGGCAGCGGAGGCGTGTACGCCGATGGCGTGGGGGCTCGGCGTGGGCCCGGCCAGGGTGGGCTGCCAGCGTGCTCGGCATCGCTCGGACGTGTGCCTGTTGCTTCGGCGAGGACCGTCGACGAGCACCTCAGATCATGTGAGAAAAAAATGCACGCACGGAGCCGAAAAAGTGCGCGGGGAGTGGCCGTCCGAGCGATGGCGAGTGTGAGTGTTGGCCCATCGAGTCCAGGATTGGGGTAAATTGCTCCAGAGCGTTAATGCCGGGACGCTCCCAGAGCGTTCTGGAACGCTGCGAGAAGGCCGCGGCGCCGGATGCATCCCTCAGAGTCGCCGGACCATCTCAGAGGTTCGATGCTGTTCCGATTTTGCCCCCGATTCCTGCTCCCTCTCCTCCTCCTGCTCCTCTTTCTCTCCTTCCGCTCCTCCTCCTCCTCCTCCTCCTCCTCCTCCTTCCGATCTATCCCGATCCTGGCCTCGTTTTGGGGCCAGGGCATCCCAGCCTGTACTGAGCATCCCGTGTTGGAACCCTGCACGGCGTGCCAGTGCGCCGCGCCTTGGGGCCTGGACGGTCTCGAGGGTGGGTCTCCGAGGGGCGCGGGCCACGGAGTTGGGCCTGCTGGCAGACATGGACCCAGAGATGGAGAAGGACTTCAAGCACTCCCAAGGACGCGCCTTTTGCTGGCACCTGGCAGAGGAGGAGGAGGAGGAGGAGGAGGAGGAGGAGGAGGAGGAGGAGGAGGAGGAGGCACAGCACAATACCTCCTTGCTACTTCTTTTTCCTCCCTTACGGTCTCTGTCGCGTACCCTCTCTCGTCTCCGTCGTGGTGACATTCCCCCGTTTCCTCCACTTTCTGGTCCATCCAACCAAATTCTTGACGCTCTTCATATCCCCACCAGCCCATCCAAAACCGATGCCCAGGCGAGCTGCGTAGAATAATGGAAGTATAGAAGAACTATGTGGGACAGTCGTTATCGTTTGAGGGAGGAGGGGGCGGAGGAGGAGGAGGAGGAGGAGGACGGATGATGGAGTAGGGAGGATGATGAAATTGTGGATGATGATGCTGCTGCTGATGATGGTGATAGTGATGGTGATGGTGATGATGATGATGTTGATGAGGATGATGACGATGATGATGCTGATGCTGATCCTGCTGCTGCTGCTGATGATGATGGACATGCTGACTATGATGATGATGACGATGATGAGGCTGATTATGATGTTGATGATTATGATGGTGAAGATGATGATTCGACTGATGATGATGATGATGATGATGATGATGATGATGATGATGATGATTATGATGATGATGATGATGAGGATGATGATGGTGATGTCGTCGACTATGATGCTGATGATGATTATCATGATGATGATACTGAGTAGGCTGATGATAATCATGAGTAAAATGATGCTGATGATGATGATGATGATGATGATGAGGAGGAGGAGGAGGAGGAGGAGGAGGAGAAGGACGAGACGAAAGACTTCGTGAATGCCTCTCGGCGTCTCCCAGGACATCTCTTGTGAATGCTCCTTGGATCGTCTTGGGAGGGTCGTAGTGGTTCCGAGAAACTCGTTGCGTCTTGGATGCATTTTGGAGGATTCCCGGGGCCTTCTTTTGGGACCTCTTGGAAGCGTTTTTGCCCAGGCGAGCTGCCCTGATCAGGGAGGTGAGGCAGCATACAGAGGAACACAGGGCTCGGGAAGCCGTCGTAGCCCAAGAGGGAAGATAATGGCGGAGGAATAGGACGAGTAGGAGGAGGAGGAAGACGAGGAGAAGGAGGAGGAAGACAGGGAGGATAAAAATGAAGATGAGGATGATGATGATGATGATGATGATGATGATGATGATGATGATGATGATGATGATGATGATGACGAAAATGGTGATGATTCTGCTGATTATGATGCTTCTGATGATGCTGATGATGAGGATAGTGCTGATGATGCTGAGGAGGAATATGATGATGATGCTGATGATGATGATGATGACGATGATGATGATGATGATGATGATGATGATGATGATGATGATGATATAGCTGATGATGATGCTGATGATAATGATGATGATGATGATGATGATGATGATGACGATCACGATAACGTCAACGATACCGATGACGGCGATGCTGATGAAGATGGTGCTGATGATGAAAATGATGAAGGTGATGGTGCTGATGATGATGCTGATGGTGATGAAGATGCCGCTGCTGATGATGATGCTGATGCTGCTGATGATGATGCCGCTGCTGTCGGTAATGCTGATGATGATGTTGATGATGTTGATGATGGTGATGATGATGATGAGACCGATGATGATGATGCTGATGATGATGATGATGATGATAATGATGATAATGATGATGATGATCATGATGATGCTGATGATGATGATGCTGATGATGATGATGATGATGATGGTGGTGACAACGATGATGATGACGAGGATGCTGATGATGATGCTGATGTTGATGCTGAGGATGTCGCTCCTATTGATGACGATGATGATGATGATGATGGTGATGATGATGCTGCTGCTGATGATGATAATGCAGATTATGATGGTGATAATGATGCAGATTCTGACGGCGATGATGATGGTGATGGTGATGGTGATGCTGATGCTGATGCTGATGATGACGATGCAGATGATGGTGTTGATGATGCTGCTGCTGATGATGATGACGCCGATGCTTATGATGATACTCAGGATGCTTATGATGATGCTGGTGATTATCATGATGCTGATGATGTCGATGACGCGGGTGATGATGCTGCTGATGCTGATGCTGCTGATGATGCTGCTGATGATGATGATGCCGATGACGACGACGATGATGCTGATGCTGATGAGGCTGATGATGATGATTATGATACTGATGATGCTGATGAAGACAATGATGCTGATGATAGTATAAAATGGATGCTGAGGATGCTGATGCTGATGATAATGTTGATGACGATGCTGATGATGCTGCTGCAGATGCTGCTGATGATCATAATGCTATGCTGGTGATACTGATACTGATGATGCTGATGATGCTGATGATGATGCTGCTGACGATGGTGATGATGCTGACGCTGCTGCTGATGATGATGAGGATGCTGTTGATGATGACGATGACGATGATGATGATGGGGAGGATGATGCTGATGCTGATGAGGACGATGATGCTGATGATGCTGGTGGTGGTGATGATGACGATGATGATGATGATGCTGATGATGATGATGCTGATGATGATGATGATGTTATTGTTGATGATGAGGATGATGGTGTTGATGATGCTGATGATGATGATTGTGATGCTGATGATGCTGATGCTGATGCTTATGATGATGATGCTGATGATGATGATGATGATGATGCTGATGATGATGCTGATGATGATGATGATGATGACGATGATGTTGATGCTGATGACGATGATTCTGATTATGATGATGATGATGATGATGATGATGATGATGATGATGATGATGATGATGATGATGCTGCTGCTGCTGATGATGCTGATGATGCTGATGATGATGATGCAGATGATGATGTTGACGATGCTGATGAACGTGGTAGTGGTGGTGGTGGCGGTGGTGGTGATGATGATGAAGCAGAAGAGGATGAGGCGGCGGAGGAGCAGGAGGCAGATGAACATGAGGATGGGGATGAGGAGGAGGCAGAGGCGGCGGAGGAGGAGGACGAGGAGGAGGAGCAGGCGGCGAAGGCGGAGGTGGAGGAGGAAAAGGAGGAGGAGGAGGACTATGAAGAGGAGGAGGAGGAGGAGGAGGAGGAGGAGGAGGAGGAGGAGGAGGAGGGGGAGGGGAAGGGGGAGGAATGAGGAGGGAAGTGGAGGAACAGGCGGATGAGGAGGAGGATGAGGAGAAGAAGAAGGGCAGCCCATCCAGAGACGATGCCCAGACGAGTTGCTATGATCAAGGACGTGGGGGAGCATACAGAGGAACACAGGGATGGAGACACCGTTGTACCCCACGATGAGGAAAATGGGGCAGAACTCGGATGAGAAGCAGGATGAGGATGAGGATGAGGATGAGGCTGAGGATGAGGATGATAATGAGGAGGCGAAGGAGGAGGATGAGGAGGAGGTAAGAGAAGGCGTAAGCTGATGAGAACGAGGAGAAGGAGGAGAAGGATGATGATGATGAGGATGATGATGATGATGATGCTGCTGCTGATGATGATGATGATGATGCTGCTGCTGAGATCATGATGACGATGACGATGCTGATGATGATGATGATGATTATGATGATGCTGATGCTGCTGCTGCTGATGATGATGATGATCATGCTGATGATGGTGGTGATGATGATGATGACGATGATGATGATGCTGATGATAATGATGGAGGTGGTGATGGTGGTGATGCTGCTGCTGCTGATGATGATGATGATGATGATGATGATGGTGATGATGATGATGATGATGATGATGATGATGATGATGATGATGATGATGATGCTGCTGATGCTGCTGCTGCTGCTGCTGATGCTGCTGATGATGAGGAGGAGGAGGATGAGGAGGAGGAGAAGCGGTTTGGCATTTTGCCACTGCGAGCGGGCAGCTCTCTTTCGAGCCATCCAGAGTGTCGTGCGCTGGCGGTCCCGCCCCCAGTCCCGCCACAGCCCAGCTGGGATGTCCGCAGTCATCGCGGTCGAGGGCTCCCGGCAGACTGAGTTCATCAGGCAACACGACGATGCCGCCACATTCCGATCTCAGGAGTTGCCGCGCCGTGGGCACGGCGATGTCGGAGGAACCCAGTCGCCCGACGGAAAGCGTGCACGTCCATCTGAAGACCCGTTGGCCGCTGTGGATAACCTTCGCTCTTTTTCCAGTGATACTAGGAACGAGATGTTGGATGCCGTCCAGCGGTTGCAGGCCCAGGTCGCCGCCTTCGGTAACACGGTCTCCAGCAACTGCGACACCCTGTCCAAGGCAATCGAGGTGCGCATCGCCGAGGTTCACTGGGGAACGCCGCGTACGCCGCCAGGAAGATGTCGTAAGCGATCGGAGCCTTACGCAAGCCCTGCGGTCAGTGGGAGAAATTCATCGTGTCGAACGTTCAGAGCCAGTCAGCCGAATTGTTCATCAGCACGGACCAATCGCCGGCCATGGTCAAGATGGGGTTGGGCCTCAAGCAGTTTCGGAGGGCCTTCGAAGCTGAGGCCGCAGGCTTCAGGTATTTCAGTGACAAGCAGAAGGGTGAGATCAGTGCAAACTGGCAGCCGCTCGCGAAGGTCACTCCACTCCCAGGGGATGAACAGTGCAAATTTGAGTGGTGCCTCCAGAACCGCGCCCGGCGCGGGATTTGCAAGGAGCGTGTTGCTGGAAGGTTCGGCGCTGCTGGACAGCCAGCGGCGCCGCCCCAGTGGTCTCTTTGGCAGCACGCTGTGCCATTGGCACGGTGCACATCAAACGCAATGGCCCCTTATACTGACCACCTGGAACGCCAGGGCCCTTTTTCATCATAACCCTGCTCTCCGTGAACCCAAACTCGCCCTCGTGAAGAAGCTGCTCCGCCCCTCTGGCTCCATTGTGGCAGTCCAAGAGAGCCCTGTCGCCAGGCTGAGGTCCAGGACTTCCTCTACCACTCTAACCTGAAGTGCACGGCCTACTCCTCATTCTGTTCAAGTTTCCAGGCT